CCAGCAAATCAGTTTTCTCTCTCAAGTCTCTTTTTAATAACCCCTCCGCCTGTTTCCATGCCAGTTGTGTCCCCACACAATCTATCAACTGTTACCCTTCAATATACCCAAATATTTGATCTGGATACAGACTGTGGCCACTCTTAACCCTTGGAAAATTCAGCTAGTTTGATGAAATTATTGCAGGTACGAATCTGGCCTCGTATCTTCAGCTTGTGTACGTCCCCAGGTACAAGCCTTTGGCATCTTTCCATTACCTTGTTTCATTTGCTTGTTATTCAGGGACATAAAACACTCATCTGAATGATAGGGTGGTTTCTACCCAGGGCTTTATTCTGATTCCCAGAGCTTAGGTTTGAAGTATGTTTTTGATAGGATTCCCACTGGGCTGTTAAGGGTGTTAATCAATACTGGCAGCCATTCAGACCTCAGTGGACTCACCACGCTTATCCTATCATTCCATTAAATTTTAATCAGGCTTTAATGGCTTTACTAAATAAACTCTTCTCAATAGCTGAGTGCAGATGCAATGTCTCAGTAGTTGCCACTGCATTTATGCAGCGGTGCAAATGTCCTGAAAATTTGTTTGTTTGTTTGTTTTTTCATTCAGCTACAATTGGCTTTTGAAAACCTTCTGTAAGTGAAATATTGTCCTCCTGTTACAGACCTCATGTGAGAGTTTTACAGCCCTACTGAAGTCCAGGTTTACAAGAGCAGCTGTTCCTCCCCTCCTCACAAAGCCTGCACCCTGTTCCAAAAGGAAACCAGACTGTTTGACAGAATTAGTTCCTGACAAATCCATGTTGGCTCACACTTATCTCCCCGTTATCTCTAAGGTGCTTATACATACTTCTCTGATAATTTGTTCCAAAAATCTTTCAGCAGTTGACATTAAGCTGACTGGCCTGTGATTTCTTGGCTTCTCTTTTCCCTTCTTTTAAAAGACATTAATGACACTGGTTCTGTTCTGATCCTCTGCTTTCTTGTGTGTTCTTGGCAAATTCACAGAGATAAAGAGCACACTGAGAGAG